TCCCAGTGGAACCCTGTCACTGAAACCCAGCAAGCAAATAAAATGGTTCCTGCCAAGCCAGAAGTCTCACAACACTACAAAGAACCAAGAAAGAGGCAGGAAAGGCTGTACACACTGTACACACACACACACACACACACACACATGTATATATGCAATATATGTACATTTGTATAGGTTTCTGCATATGTGTATGTATATGTATGTGTATATATGTATGCATATATACATATACACACAAGGGAAAATATATATACACTTATCTCTAGAAGACCAATAGCCACTGGCTTCAGTTAGATTAGTTCAAGTGTGAGCAGCAATTCCCTAAACAATTATCCAACCTGGGAACTGCCAACACACATCATGTGATGGAGGAGATCAAGGCACTCTCTCCCATCTACCCAACCTGCTTCCTACCATAACAGAAGCCACAAGCTCAGATCAAAACACACCCTAACCACAGCGGGTAGGAGCTCAGTGTTGATGGTCCACACCTGTGCTCAGCCTACAGGCAGCAGAATCACCAGGTTCCAAAGCGCCAGTCTAACTTGGTCTTCCCAGTGTGACCCTGTCTCTGAAACAAAGCAAGCAAACAAAACAGTTCCTTAGCAAGCCAGCAGCACACAAACCCCAAAGGAACAACAAAAGAGGAAGGAAAGACTGGGAAAAGACACTGGCCAGTACAGATTTGCATATATATGTATAAACTACATATAATTGTATATAACTATATATGCTTGTGTATATATATATATATGTATGTATATATGTTTGCACATATACATAGGTTGAAATAAACACATATATGTACATATTTATTCATTCATTCATATATTTATTAAACTTGACCAGGCAAATGGCCACTTCTTTTAGTTGGCTTGGTGCAGGCGGGATTAGCGATTCCTTCAGCCAGTGTCCAATCCCGGAAGTGCCAACACACATCAGGTGATGAAGGACATTGAGGTCAAATCGGAAACAATAGCCCTGGAGTTTGTGGAGCAATTACAAAAGTATGTCTAGGGTTATGGGTTATCTTTAAAGGTGGAAAATACAGGGCCAGATAGAGAGGATCCTGTAAACAGGATGGAGACAAAGGGAGTGTTAGTGGAAGTTGCCAGTTGCACCATCCCCTGGGCCCCAGGTCAGAGGGGTAGTGGGGGATCTCTTGATGCAGGAGTTCCGGACAAGAAGGGCAGAGCAGACACTTGGCCTTGGGAGTTGTAGGGAGGGGACTTGTGGAAGGTCAGGCAAGGTGCATCTTGGGAGACCCCCTTCTAGGATGTAAGGGTGTGACAGTCGAGAGACAGGGAGGGGTTTACAGGAGGAACTGTGGGAAGAGGTGGGGCAGTAAGAGTTTATATAAGGCAGGCAGCTGGTGGGCAGGGTCACTCTGGACTCGGCTACAGAAAGGACCAGGAGGAAGCCTACGTGCCTCACAGCGATCGACCAGAAGAGTCCCAGAGCACGGTGAGTGACCCATGGCATTCAGGAAGCCAGGTGAGTGTCCTGGGCATCTCTGTAGACATAGACGGGGTTGGCAGAAGGATGGAGGCAGCCCAGTGGGAGTGCAGAGCGGTAAGGCAGATTCAGGAGCGCCTGGCCTCCAGCACAGATGCCGACGAGCTATACAAATCCTTGAGGCTGCTCTCAGTCATGCCCATCACAGCAGAAATCCTTGCCACCACGGGTGTCAGAGAGACAGTGAAGGGTTTTAGGAAGTACCAGCAGGTGGGCAGTTTGGCCAAGGAGCTGGCCAAGCGATGGAAGACCTTGGCTGTACTGAGGCGCAAATCAGAGGCTCTGAGCCAGGTTCCTGAGCAGGATGGCAGTGAAAAGCCCAGGAAGGATGATCTGGGAGAAGGGGAGTGGAAGGAGATGAGGGAGCGGGAGCCAGAGGACATGGTGAAGTCCTCAAATGTGGATTCATTCTCTCAGAGTAGAGTGAGTGACCCGCAAGATGCAGGAACACAGGTGAGTGGGCCCAACATCTCTGTAGACAAGGTGGGGGTGACATCGGGATGCAGCATGCCGAGTCTGTGTGCAGAGTTGTGCAGCAGCTCCAGGAGCGCCTAGTCTCCAGCACAGACACGGAGGAGCTTCTTCATTCCTTGAGGCTGCTCTCAGTCATTCCCATCACGGCAGAAATCCTTGCCACCATGGGTGTCAGAAGGGTACTGAAGAGTGTTAGGAAGCACCCACAAGTGGCTGGTTTGGCCAAGGAACTGGACAAACACTGGAAGACCTTGGCAGTTCTGAGCCACAAATCAGAGGCTCTGAGCCAGGTCCCTGACCAGGATGGAGGTCTAGAGCCCAGAAAGTATGATCTTGGGCAGGGGGAGGGTCAGAGGGAGGTGGAGGATGGTGAGAGGGAGCAGGAGGACCTGTTGGAGGCGTCAAATGTGGATCTGTCCTCTCAGAGCAGGGTGAGTGAACCCCTGGATGGAGGAGTCCAGGCGTGTGGTTCCCGTGTCTCTGTAGATGTGGCCAGGGGTGGCATGGAGACGCAGGCCGCCAAGTGGGTGTGGGGAGCCATGCGGTTGCTCCAAGAGCAACTGGCCTCCAGCACACATTGGGAGGAGCTCCGCAAATCCTTGAGTCTGTTGTCGATCTTGCCCATAACGGCAGAAATCCTTGGCACCACGGGTGTCAGAGAGATAGTGAAGGGTTTTAGGCAGCACCCGCTGGTGGGCAGTATGGCAAAGGAGCTGGACACACGCTGAGAGACCTTGGCTCTCCTGGGCTGCAACCCAGCACTTCTTTCGGCGATTCTACAGCAGGTCTCTGAACAGGATGGCGCTCAAGAGCCCAGGAAGCAGGCTCTTGGGCTGTCAGAGTCAGGGTGGGTGCAAGAGGACAAGTTGAAAGCGTCAAGTGTGGTTTGGGGCTCCGGGGGGAAAGAAACAGCAGGCAGGAGGGGAGGCCTCAACTCTGGGCCAGAGCCCCCACAGCCCGGGGAGCTGTGTGAGTTCCAGGGACCTGGCAAGCAGTCCGCCAGCCCTTGTCCCGCCCTTGTCCCAGGAGCAGGCAGGAGAAGCGTCCCCGAGTGGACCCAGAGTCCTCTGGGGGCAGCAGCAGGTCTCATCCTTGGGCCGTGGAGAGCTCTGGAGTCTCGCGGGACCCTGGGCCCACTGGTATCCTGGACATGCCTGGCAACGCGTGCCATCTGGTCACGCAGTCTCAGGATCCACCAAGGCTCCCACAAGAAGGTCTCCCTTGGGAACCCCAGGGACGGGCTGGGGCCAGACCAAAAGAGGGGGGCCGATCCTCTGAAGAGGGGAAAAGAGGTTCAGGCCCCCTGCCCTCTAAGGTCAAGCAGACCTCTGGCAAGCCAGAGACGCAGGCAGCGAAGCTGCGCGGGCGCAATCACCAGAGCGAATCCCAGCAACAGCATGAATTCTGGGCACCTCCACAGTCTTTCAAGGATGCCCTCAACCTGACCCAGCTGCTGCCGAGGAGACAGAGGACCAAGGGCAGGATTCGTGCTGTTGCTTTGGTTCAAGGAGGCCTGAAAAGGAATGGCTCCAGCGGCCCCAGAATACCCTCGGATTCCTGCTCAACTCAGTCCCAAGGGCAAGCAAGGTCCAGGAAAACCAGGCAGGAAAGCTGGCGCCAACCTCAGCCGCCAATCCAGCCAGTCCCGTCAATTCCACAGAAGGAGTCAGGGTGCCAATGGTGCATCTCAGCACTGAAACCTCTAATATGCCTGGGCTGCAGGCCTATTCGGGTCGGCTGCATGACCTGAAAAGGATGCCCTCCTTCTCTTCATCTAGGCCGGGAGCCTTTGTGCCCTGGGAAGTGGGAAAAGGGGAAGGGGAAGGAGAAGGAGAAGGAGGAGGTGTTGAGGAAGGGGTAAAGGGAGATGAAAGGGAAGGGGGAAGGGGAGCAGAAGGCAAAGGGGCACAGGGAGAGGGAGGGGAAGAGATGGCCTTGCCTTTTGTCAGAAAGTCCCTGAAGATGCCACTGTACTCTGGACCAAAGCTCGATTCCCTCGCTCCCTGGTGCCCCCAGGATGTCCGGGGGCTCCCTCAACACAGCACTCCAGCCACTCTCAGGCAGCCCTGCATTCTCCTAGCACCCATTTCCCAGACTTCTACCCCTTCTCCGCACCAGCCTCAAGGGAACACTCATCCAAGGACAGTGGCGCACAGTGGTACAGAAAGGCTGTGGCAAATCCGCTGTGGCAAAGCATTCAAGGATGAAAAACCAGCAGAGGGTGAGTCCTGGCGAGAGCTGAACCTGCGGCTTTGCCAAGATCAAGAGCAGCGTGTGCAAGCAGCGAGCGCCTGCACAAGCCAAGAAGAGCCAAGGCCAATGGACACAAAGCTCTTAAACCAACCTCCAGAAAAGTCTCCTGGCCCTGGAAAAAGCTCCCGGGCGAGGACTGTGTGGGAAGGGTGCTCAAGGGCTGTTCTCACTGCTTCTGAAGGACTGGGATAATGAGTAGAGTCAGCAGAGTCCTAAGAACAGAGTCTTAAACCACTGGAGTCTGTTCTTATCAGAACATCGAGAAACACTTCATGAATGCATGAATGCAAAAGCTATATGTCTATTGTGTATATGTAGTAAATTAGGTATTAATTAATTGATTGGTAAACTAATATTTAATTGTATAACTTATCATTTTAAATTCTGAAACTGAGAAGGAAATCTAGGAATAATGGACAGTCACTTGGCTGTCCTTCCCTCACTCTTAGCCTGGGCATGATGAAGCTTAGGACACAGTCTGTGCCCTTGAGCACAAGCTCACTGCAGAGGACTCCGGTGACCTCCTGGGGACAGCACTGATCCTGCAGCCCTCTCTCATCTCCCACAACTGGACATGCTGTGTGCACATGTTCCCTTAAGGGCTGGAAGTCACAATATAGCTTAGGTTAATACTGAGCTGGTAAATCCCACCACCACAGCCAAAGAGGAGAATTATTTGAAAAGCGCTAGTTTTGAAATATTAACTATACAATTTGTAGTGTTCAAATTGAGTGGACAAATGATAGAGAAGAAAATGGAATCAGAATGAGTATTTATTAAACTATATGATGCATTATCATCCCATCAGCCAAAGGAGCCACATGGCTGCCTGTGCAATTCCATGGCTTTTGCTGCAATATCCTAAAGGGTATCAGAAATGCTTGGATCAGAGAGCACAACAGTGACTTACTATCCTGACTTCTCTAGCTTCTTGCTCTCACATTCACTCAGAAAAGCTGTTGTGCTGCTCCTAAAAAAGGCTACATGTGACAGTTCCGCTACACCAGTCAGGGTGGTTTTTGTTCAGGGCTGTATCAGTGTGGGAGGAACATGTGTATGTTGAAAGCAGTAATAAACACCAACATTCTCAGCCTCCACCCTGCTGATTTTCAATGTGAAATCTGTGCCTGACCCACTGCCACTGAATCTGTGTGGGACCCCAGAATATTGGTTGGAAACCAAATAGATTAGGGCTTGTGGAGACTGGCCTGGCTTCTGTAGGAACCAGTACAAATAGGTGTTTCCATCACTATATATGAGACTCTGACTCGACCTACAGGAGATGAAGACTGGCTCTCCCAGGGTGACAGGCAGAGACAGTGGAGTCTGAGTCAATATAGCATCTCCACTGGATCCTAAAATAATTAGAAAAGTGGACAGGGTTAATTACAGGCATCATGAGACATTTTCACAATTATTGCAGGCTATAATTTTTTAAAATTTTTGTTTCATCCAACAAAATGTTCATTAAATACATGATGAACACACACACATAGACACACACACACACACACACATATCAGAATTTGTAAAACTGCATGGAGTTTTGCTCTTTCTGGAATCTTCCTCACTCTCAAAGATACATATTTACATTCAAGAGGGCAAATATGCAGGAGTGGACATAACACACATGGGGAGCAGAGCTCAGCCCCTCCCCATCTCTTTCCTTAGCTCTAGTGTGTTCTTACCTGTTACCCAGAGCATAAGCATCCCCAGGAGCTGAACAGGGCACTTCATTTTGAGAGTAAGCAGTGCTGGTCAGTCCAAGCAAGATTAGAGCTGAGCTTTTATGTTGGACTTGCAAGGGAGCTCCTCCCTAAGGAGCAATACGCAAATGTCCTGGTGGGTGCAATGGTGAGAGACAAACTTTCAGGTGAGATGGAAACAGACACTGGGAGGGTGGGGCCTCTTCTGTGAGCAAATGACATTAACTGGGACCAAGTAAAGCAAGAGAAATCTAATGTGTGTTCCCTGGAAAGGGAATGCCTTCATGATTCCTCCTGCTCTTGTCTGCTGCCTAATTCTTCAACCATGTCTGGTATGTTTTACAGTTTTCTTGATAAGGATGCATTTCCATAAATATTGAGTCATTCTTATTTATTTTCTAGACATTTGTTTAAAAGTTTAGTTCTGTTCATTTCATTTTGCGTAGTATAAACTACATGTAATGTAGAGAGCAGAAATAAGAAATGTACAATGTTTAGCACAAATCTACAATTCAGACAAACCATGGAATTCAGTATCAAGTTACGCAAAGGCTCCTCCTCCAATACATAAGAAACAATCCCAACATGTGGCATTATAGTTTGTTTGTTTCCTAGACTTGACCATCACATAAGTGGAAGACAGAACTTTTACGTGGTTTTAGCTTCTTGTTTCTGAAATCCTTTTGAGGTCTTTTCCCCTCATAGGTTCTGAGCCTTTCCTATCACTTCCTTTGGTTCTGAAATGCTTCTTGTTCTGCCAGAGTATGTCTACACATACCAATTTCTCTTCATTTGCAGTTAGAAAAACAATGTTATTTTTTTGCCTTCAAATTTAAGGTATGGGGTCATGAATACAATATTCTTGGTTGGCTTTTCTTTTCTATTGATTGTCACATATGCCATTCTACTATATTCTAACCTCAATGGTTAATGATAAAATTAATCCAGGATGTTATTGAATTTTCCTGTGCAAATAGGCGTAATGTTCTTCAAGATTCTCTTTTCCTGTATAACAGCTTTTTATCTGTGTTTACCTGATTGTGATTCAGTAGAACTCTTTAATGCAAAAATAAATCTCATTTTAAGAGTTATTTTTCAAATATTTTAGCTTATTTTTATCTTTTCCTTTATAGGTTTTTATATACAATCTTACCATAGTAATCAATAAATTAACCTATAATTCTCTGAGGAATTGTCTGTTCATTTTTTTTTACTAAAAAATTATATTGTTATATATTCATTGATTCTTCTGCCATAATCAAGTCATAACATTTAGTGCATTGTTCCATTGGGTTCTAGAATTTCAAAACTGATTTTTACATCAATGTAAATTTTTGCCTTACTTCTCCTCTACCTGTCCTTTCCCTCCGCTATATTCTTTCTAGGAAGTTTGTATTACTGGACAAATTTGTATGTTTAAAAATTCAAACTGGCGTTTGTTTCCCCTTTCTCTCTCACATGCCCAGGATGGGGAAAACAACTTTAACATACTTTCAACCCAAACAGACAGTCACCTCTCATCTCTCCAACCCAGGAAGTTATTAAATCTCTGTCAGAGAAACACAGAACTAAAGTGATGAGACAACAGTAAACCAAAAGATAAGAACCAATTGTGCTACCATTTAGTCTTGGAAGCAATCCTGGAGCAGACCCCTTGAGAAGCCTCTTAAAACTGGGACCTTTTCTCTGATTAGTAGGATAATAGAGCTTTGATTTCAAATCTTCACTATTCTTCTCATTTGACATGTGACAAATAATAAGCCTTATATTCTTTTTCCTCAACATACTGCTGTCATTTTTTTGTGAATTAGTTTGTGAATTCAGGGGACCAAACTTTGGAAACACAACAACATAGAAACTCTTTGGAGAGAAAGAAATAACTTAACAAAAAGATGAGTGATAGTGTAAACCACCAAAATCATTTTGATACATAAGCAAACATTCCAAACACATGAGCAATCCTTGGGAAAATGTGTCCTTTCTTGTGGTTAAGTGGGAAGAAGCAAACTGAAAACTTCCTTCCTCATAACAGCATTGGAAGGACACAATATAGATTAGAGGAATATAATTCTTCAATCATCTTCTATGGATGTCATTCATTATCTAGACATAACATTCTTGAATGTTTTTATTCAGAATAATCTAGGACTATGGCTGAATGAGTTAGTAAGATGTAGTCTTCAGTTAGATGTTAGTGACTCTGAACTGGAACTCCACCACCATTCTTGGAAATCCTCAATGCCAATGCTCCCTAGGTTTCACTGAAGAGACTTCAATGTCACTTGACTTGGGGCTCTAGAGATTCAGTTAGTCTTTATTGTGCTATACTTTTTTTTTTTACTCTTTGTTTATGAGGCATAATAAAAACAATCATTCTAAATTTTGAAAGTTGGAAGAAGGGGAAGGGAGAGATGAGGGAAGTTAATCACTTAAAAGTCAAAGGCCCAAAGAACTTTCAGAAAGCTTTTGTCAGACTTTCTGAAAGTTAATTGAAATACTAAAACCTGAGTAGCCACTCACACATAAATTAGAAATCTTTAGTAACAATGAATTTATAGACTGCTAACCCCAGTCAATCCCTAAACACCAAATACATTGTTTACAAACAGCCACACTTGACCGCTGTATGTACTATCTAACTTGTCTCATTTCTAGCTAATATAAAACTATTGCAAGAACTTTTCGTGAAGGCTGACAAAAATGCTCTTGGTGTTTAGATCCAGAGAAAAATGGTCCTACTTCTATTCAGTATTTTCACTGATGGATATAGGAACTTATACTAGGACATGATGTTTTTCTTTTGTTATGTGTCATGACTCAATAAACCATTTGATTTCACAGAAACTAAAGTCCAAGCACTTAAGAGGTTTAACAGGCAGCATCTCTTTTTCTGGCTAATGTCTTCCCTGGTCATTGTTGGGACATATTGGGCAGAAAGAAATGATGGTCATAGAGGAAAGCTTGTCTTCAAATTCTCAGTTCCAGTTGGATCTCATCTTCTTCAATTGTTAATTTCCTGGGATCTGGGAAACACCTGCTTGATGGTAATAGAAGAAGGAAATGCCCTGTTATCTTCTCTAAACCATTGATTGCCTAAATCATGGAATTTCATAAGCTTATTTGAATAAAAAGAAAACCCTTTCTTTTGTCATGAGATGAGCACTATGTATGAAGATGACAATGGTGCTTGACATAGTATTTTGCTTCCTGGTTCCAAAAAAGGAAAGAATACAAAATGTTTTAGGAATTCTTCAGTGTTCTTATGATGTACTATTTAATGTCTCAGCTCTTTTTCCTCAATCACATTTCTGGTCACAGATATCTGGGGTCTTGTAGATGAAAATTGTATGATTGGTGCTTATTTAATTTATAATTTTAATTCATTACTTGAGAAATAAAATTCCAAACTTAAATATATCAAATATTGTTCACCTGGATATTCAAGAATTATATTTGTATATTATTATTAATACATTATCTACTGAGCTGACTGTATGGCTAACTAATCATTCAGGATAGTGGATTCTCTCAGACTGTCACATTTTCCTTTTCCTCTTAAAGAATCATAATTTCACCTTCCTTTATTTTTCTCATAAGCTATTCCTTTTGTATATGTGTAAGTTTGATATTGCACACCAAGTGAGAATTAATAAAATGAAGGAAGTCATGCTCAAAGAAAAATCACATCTCTAATCCTTCTGTCACATTGCTGGGTATCACAGGTACTGGGTATCACACTCACTTGCTGTATGCTTGTAATTTAGGTTTTTTCCCCACTTGTATTAGAATATCAAATCGTTTTTCTTCTTTATATGAAATATATTCCAAATAATTCTTCAATTTATTAACAGTATATACTTGTATCATGTGTTCACAGAAAACATCCTTCTTTTACAGTGGAAAAAAATCCATTGTGTGTGTGTGTCTATGTATGTGTGTATATGTGCATGTGTGTGTGCACAGGTGTGTGTGTTTATGATCAGAGAGAAAGAGAGAGCGAGAGTGAGATGATTGTTCAGTCACACCTTACGTACATGCATTTTATTTGTTGCCAATATTTTTCCTAGGGTCGAGAAGTTTATCTTCAAGGACATTTCTTGATATATATGGGATATATATTAAATGATAAAATCATGCTGCTTTGTAGATGTTGTCGTATTTTATCATTTTTAGAATTGTCTCTTCAGATGTTCTATTATTATTTCCATTCTTTGCATTAACTTTTGAAAAAGTTGCTGCAGGTTAAGATGTAAACCAAGAGAGTCTGGAGGAAGATGGCAGAGGAGAACATGGGGGCTAAATAAGCTCTCAGGTAGAAACCAGTTTTACTGTTCCAGTGGCAAATCTAAGGCTAGAGTCACACCAAGTATGCCATCATAGTACAAAGAGTTTGCCCAGAGAGGAAAATTTCAGGCAGCTTGGTTCCAGAGACAGATTCGAACACTCTAGGTTCTGTGGCAGTGGCAGCAGGAGCTGCTACCATGGCCGCCACATCTACAGAAGGAGTCCAAGACAAATGCACCAGAGGCAGTGTAAAAGCAGATTCTATCACCACAAGCAAGAACTG